AGTGTCAAATACATTTAATATTAAAAATAAACGTCTCAGGATTTGAAAACACTGAGACCATCCAATGGCTCTCTGCCCATACATCCCTCTAATGCTGTCAGTTAAGCATCCTTTAACCTTCCATTTTAGGATTCAATCCTTCCCTGCATTCATAAGACAGGAGATAAAGGGCACTTTGTCAGCAACTTCTTGGCTGAGCAGTGATTTAGTTTTGCTGTTGCTCCTGTTCTGACCTTGGTTCATGAATTCTCAGTGACTAGGTTTCCTGGCTTGTGATAGTTCTAAAGCACAGATAGATCTGACCTTATCACCTCCCTGCTTAAAAAGTCTCCAGTGTCTCTCTAGTAACTACGATAAAGCCAAATTTCTCTATTTAGAATTCTAAAATCTTTACAATCTGACTCTAACCTACCTTTCCATGCTTACCATCCAGTATTTCCTTTCCCACACTCTGTGTTCCAGCAGAATTGTTATACTTGTCCTGCACAAAACATTCCATCTTGTTCCTCCATGATTTTGCCCAGGACTGTTGTCCATGTTGGAAAATTCACTCCCTCTTCACGTCTCTAGATTCCTTCAAAATGCATTTCAGATGCTGTTACTACCTTTTCTGATCTCTCTAGTGGCTAGTATCCCTAGAATTACTTGGTATTTACCTTCTGTGTTCTTGGTGTGTGCTTAGAGGTGAATATGTTGTTTCTTCTTGCAGAATGTAAGTTCTGTGAGAGGAAGACTGTGTTATTGTTGTTGTTGTCGTTTGTCTTTGTATCCCTGGCGTCCAAGCCTAGGACAGTGCTTGTCACTTATAACTGATCTCCTGGTAAACAGATTGTCTGTGCTGTACTGTATTCTCCCTTGGTTGAATTTCATGCCCTATAATCTGGTCTCTAGTGTCCGGTTTCCTGTTGCTAAATCTTAGCCCTGTCATCTCTCTCAACCTTAATCGTCTGCTGTTTGGCTGGTTGGTAGGGTGACTAATTATTTTGTCTGCTGTTTAGACTTTATACCTATTCAGCTGGTTCATTACTGCTAGGGCACACCTTCTACCTTAATTTGTAATACTGTAAATTGGATGAGAATACTAACCCCCTTGCGTTGATCCTGTGACTATAAATAAACTTTCTGGACTCAAAACCTAGCAACTCTGCACCCAAATAATAGACAATAAACACTGCTTTGTTCTGTGGGTCTGTCTGGACTTCCAGTCCAGGTCTTTAGCAATCTATATTATCCATTGTCAACCCAGTCATGGTTATCAGAGCATGTAACTACTAAGGTAATTAATAATTTATTTATTTTTAATTACCTGGCTCTGTATTTGAAATTAACAGAATTCTTTTTCCTGACTCCTTAGGAATAAGAGAGGGGTTATTTTATTCTGTTGTTTCGGGAAGGGGGAGTTTAAAAAATTAGATTTCTTTAAAAATCCTGCTATTGTCTGTGTGTCTATTGAGAGAGGAAAGAACATAAAGGAATAGGATCAATTTGTTGCAGGGGAGATTTATGGCAAAATTATTAGACCATTATGAGACCTTGTCATTTAGCAATTGAATGAAGTGGCAGTGAAAAGGAATGGTTAAGCAAAAATATTTGCTTAAATTAGAATAATCTTTTCATACACATTATTTATCATTTACATTCTTAATAAACCTCTTAACCACAAGAACTAGCTGTATTCCAAATCCCATTATAATGCCTTAAATTTCTCTGTGAAAACAATTCTTTTTAGATCTTAACTTTTGCTTTTTTTTAAAAAACATCCCATTAAGTACTAATTTTTATGGAACTATTACTTTTTTAGCATTTAAGGAATACATTTTCTAAAATATGACAGTGTTTTATGAGATATATTGTTGGGGAAATGTGATTTATTGTGTATATTTTCATTAATGTTTATGATCTATAATTTAATGAAATTTCTTAGTGAAATCTATAAAAATATAGAGCAATTTCTGGAATATTTTCTAAAGTACCTCCAAATTCAAACATTCTTTGATCACAATTTATATTTTCTCACCATTTAAGCTTTTAATCCCAGAACTACTGCTTTTCCTCTATTATTGTTCTGCTTTTTAGAAATGATTGCTGTGAGCTTGTCCAAAGTTCAGCTACAGTAGGAATGGCTAATTAGTGATTCTGACTTCTTTTAGATCTCTTAGATTTTCTTTTTCATAATCAAACCCTGTTGATTCAAAATGGTAATTAATGTTTAACATCCTAATGGAAATGCATCCTGAATACATGGTAAAAGAATCTCTTGAGAAGGTTCTTTTCCTTATCAGGGAAGAAGCAAGTCCAATAGAATTCCTGCTATTTGTTTTATAATTTGTTTTATAATTATTGAAATAAAAGTTTAAGCTGTGATACTTCACCACTTAAGAGACCTGTGGATTTTGCATGTGAAAATTAAGGAGCTTGGGCACCTACTTCAAGAAGGGGAGGGGGTGGGGTTGATTTTGAAGGGAAAGATAAGAGATTAATTGGAAAATCACAATACAAGAACTAGACAACACTGTATTTACACTTATTACCTAGATCGGCTAACTTCTGAGGTAGCCATTTAAAAACCGACTTAGCTTATCAAAGTTTACATATAGTAAGTATACTAAGTATACATGGGTAAGGTCAAGGTTGCCTTTTACAAGGCAAAACAAGCTAGAAGTAGAATGTAGAATGAAATGTAGAAGTAGAAGGAAATACAGTTCCCGACAATTGTCCCTCCCCATTCTTCCTGAGTTCTACTCACATTTCCCAAATTGCAAAGGACAAAGTAGAGTTTAAGTGTACAATCTCTCAAGTTTGCTTCCTTCTGACACTGCTGTCACCCTGGTGCAGAGGAAGCCCTTGTTCCTTCATGCCTGGACTATTGCAATATTACCTTCTGATTGGTCTCCCTACCTCGTTTCTGCCCCCTCTAGTCTGTTCTCTTTTCAGCTGTCAGATTAATCTGCCTAAATTGCATGTCTGGCCATGTTACACACAAAGCTCCCTCTGCCACTTCACACACCTCCAATTCAGTAAACTTTAGTAGCTGCCAGTCATTCATACAATCCAATATAGAATCTTTTCTTTGGAGTTCAAAATCTTTCATAACCTGACCACCTCCTACTTTTCCTGTCTTCTCATACCTTAATCCCTCGAAGTACTCTGTCATCCAGTGGCACTGGCCTTCTTGCTGTTCTTGCAAGACACTCCATCTCTGGACTCCTGGAATTTCCACGAGCTCTCCACCATACCAAGGATTTTCTGCTGCCTGATCTCTCTGGTTTCCTTCAGGTTCCAACTAAAATGCTACTTTTTGCAAGAAGCCTTCCAAAGCCTACTTAACACTAGGGCCTTCTCTCTGTCAGTTTTCTCTAGTTTATCTTGTTAAATATTTTGTTCATACATAATTATTTTATGTTATCTCCCCCATTAGACTTCAATTTCCTTTAAAATTGGGGCTGCTTTTTTGCCTTTCTTTGTATGTCTAGTACTTAGCACTGTAAAATTTAAAATGTTTTATTGATTAAATCAGGGCATTGTGCTAAGTCCTGGGATAGAAGCAATGACAATAGCTAACGCTTATATAGCACTTAGTATTTTCTAGGAACTATACCAAGTGTTTTATATTACTGTTTCATTTGATCCTCACAGCTCCCCTAGGAAGCTGGTGCTATTATTATCAGGATTTTAGAGATGAGGAAAACAGAGGTTAAGTGACTTGCTCAGGGTCACAAAGCCAGTATGTACCTGAGGCAAGATTTGAGCTCAGATGGTCCCTAACTTCAGCTGCCCAAGAAAAAAAGATAAAAAGAGTCCTTACCTTCAAGAACCTCACAGTCTAATTGCTAGACCATGAGTGTGGAACTTAAGTGAAGCCATGACTAAGTTATGAGGATCAATGAAACAGTAATATAAAACACTTGGTATGGTTCCTAGAAAATACTAAGTGCTATATAAGTGTTAGCTATTGTCATTGCTTCTATCCCAGGACTTAGCACAATACCTGGCACAATGTAAGTAGGTGCTTAATAAAACCTTCTGAACTTGATATATTGCAAATTGAAAAAAAAAAAGGATCTAAGCATAGTGAGAATAATAAAGTATTTGATATCCCCATGGAAACTGTTCTTTATTTAAAACACCATCAACACCTTAATGCCAGGAACAAACGCTAGAAAAGGGATATCTTACAGGGGGATCGTCTAAGCCCCCTCTGGATCTGCTTAGCTTTGAATCCATCACCATCACTTCTAAATAGTATTGAATATGACTTTCAAATTTGATGACTTATAAAATTGTGTTGATTACTTAATGATAGTTGCCATCAAGTTATGTGATTCCAGTGGAGAACATAGTAAATAACCTCATCTTTTAGAAATATTCTCCAATGACATCAAAATGTCATTTTGTTTCAATACTTGTAAGTAATACATGCCTAGGACAGGGCTTGAGTGTGAATATAGAAGTCAGCCTGAACAAATATGTATTAAGGTAATTAATACTTGAAAATACTTTGGACTTCTCCAGGAAATGTATCAAATACAAAAATATCCAAGAGAAAGCTGAGACTGTGTATGATTTGCATACTGAAGTTCAAACTTAAAAGAGACAAAGAGCATTTAATACCAGTGCAATACAAGTCATGATGTATACTTTTAGCATGATTATATGAACAGCAGAATTAGAAATAAAAGCATGTACAATATTAGGAAACAGGGTTCATCAAACAGTCCCTCTTCAAAAATGAGGGAAAATATTGATCTTCTCAGAGAACACAATAAGCTGGTTAAAAAGTTGCAAAGATATTTATGGAACAGAGAGACCTCATTTGCAAAGTAATAGTAAAGACTGAAATGGGTGTATACAGCTGATTTTGTTAGATCCAATCAAGTCTTTTATTTCCAGAGAAAGCCTATTAAACGTATATTCAGGAGTAGAATCAAAAGGCACTCCATGGTCAACATCCACAGGAACTAGAACAACAGTATGGCAACAAAGAAGCAATTGAATAAATGGCTGAGGCTCATTTGTTTATGGAAACTATTTCATGCAATGATTCAGGATCAGATCATCGCTCCTAGAAAAAACAGAAAGATTATCCTTAAAGAGAGCCTGGGTTTATTAATTAATGCCTGTTATGTGACATGTCGGAAACTGTGTATCTGTCTATCAATGTGCTTAGCAAAAAATTAGCATCTTCTGGGTACCTGGAAAAACACGATCGAGCAGCTAGAATCACATGTGAGAAGTTTGGTATCCTTTATAAACTAAAAAATGAGAAGTCTTCTTACTATTCATCCAAACCTCAAAACATTCTCGGGACTTCAACAGATAACCCATCGGACAACACAGTGCAGAATTGTAGATATAACTGTTACTCACAGCTACCTGTATATAATTTTGATCCACAAAGCTTTCAAGAACATTTTAGTAGCTCCACCATAATCTCCAAGGTATGTGGAATAAAAAATTTCCAAACAGGAAGCCCTAGTGAAAGAAATTAAAGACATGTGCAAAAAGGACAGGTTGCATAACTCTGCCACTAGAGATACTCCAGAATTGTGTTTAGGGAATCTACAAATGAGCTTGCAACCTAACAGCCTTATTCAATTATGAAAAAGCAATCATTATATCCAGTTGTGCAGTAGTCCACAGAATATTTAAAATCATGGAATAATAGCAGGATAGACTGTCCTAGCCCTAGGTCTAGGGTTCTGTGATTAATCCTCAGACCTATCTTATCCTCAGTTCCATTTGAACTCCATCAAAACAGAGGAAAATAATATAATACTATTAAAAACATTAAACATAAAAAGAATAAGCATTTGTCCAAAAACCTTTTCTATCTGAATTAAAATTTGAAATATAATAATAATAATTTCAACAGTATTTAATGCATTTTAAAGTTTATAAATCACCTTGCATGAATTTCTCTTCTTTGATCTTTGTAACAATTGTATGAGTCACAATTGTTTTAATCTAAGAGTGCTCGTGGATCTGAGTTCAGGAACTTGAACACTGTGGTAATGAGAGCCACAAGAGTTAGAAATATTGATTTTATTGAAGTGATAGAAAAGACAAGTTACACTTTCTACAGTGGGGGCGGCCCAATAGTATCTTTGTGAGTTGGGCCACCTAGGATGGGAAACTCCTAGAAACATGTTTTGGATCTGGATGGAGGCTTCACTGAACTAGACTGGAGCTGTGTTTCTTATGTGAAATTGAATTATTATTTTTTATTTTCTGGGGACCAGCTCCACCCATGGATCTTGCACAACAGGTTTCATCTAGTAGATTAGCAGTTGGATTGATCAAGATAAATAAGGGGATTTGAGGGGAGGGAGCAAATGAGTTCAGAGGTCACTATATCTGAAAATCAGGGGAACATTTTGGAGATTAAAGTGGAATCTTGATTTGTATATACATAAATAAATTCTCCAGCAATTCCCTATCAGGTACAGGTAGAAGTTATTATCCCTGTTTTATATATGAAGAAATTAAGACTTAGATTTTTGTTGAGATTCAGTTGTGATCTTCAAAAGGTCACATAAGCAAATAAGTGTTGGTGTCAGGATTCAAACCCTGATCTTGGAATACTCATCTTGAGGAAACACTGTGTGTGTGTGTGTGTGTGTGTGTGTGTGTGTGTGTGTGTATGAGAGAGAGAGAGAGAGAGAGAGAGAGAGATTGATTCAGGATGAAGGATATGGTAGGAATACGTCCAATAAACCGGTTTACAGTCATTTAACATGATTCCTTGGAAGTGCCCCAGATCTTTTAATATGTAAAAAAGAAATCTAACAACCTAAGACAAATAACTGGAGCTTTCTGTTCTTTACCTTGGGAAAAAATAATCTTATTTCATATTCGTGGTGAGTTCTCTGATTGTAGTCATGGTATTGTCTTCATATTTTGTAAACTTTGTATGTAACTCGGTGCCTGGTGTGATACTCTGTAAGGAGTAAATTACTCAATAATTATTCTTATAGAAAAGTTTTATCATTGACTTTTAGGGTCAGAAATCCAGTTCCAGTGCTTTACAGATAAGAGAACAGTGGCCCCACAATGACTGAGTAAGTCATCCATAGTCTTAAAACTAGTTAGTCTCTAACCTAGAACTAGAACCCAGGTAATAGTATAAGATTTAGAACTGGAAAGGACCTTAAGGGTTCAATTAGTGCTATCCCCTCATTCTCTTGATGAAGAATTGGTGGCCTAAAGTGGCAGAGTGGGAATTCAAGCACTGACCATCAGTCCTCCATATCATAAGTCAGTGTTCTTTCCACTGCCCTGTGGTGACCTTGACTCCCACGCCTCTGTATTTCCCACTTATTACAATCCTCTCTGATGGACTGTGACATTGTATGTACTAGAGAGGCATTCATAATCCAATGAATGTTGCTAGGAGACCTGAAGTCCTGGTAAGGGTCTCTCATAGCAGACTGGCTTGAAGTGAGGATTCAAACTAAAAGCAGTCCTACTTTAAACCAGTGAAGACTACTGTAGCTAGCAGCAATGTCATAGTAGCACACCACCAGCTTACCTGCCATGTATGGCCAACTTGATTGTAAGTAAACAGGCAGATTTACTTGACAGAATGGCAGTAAATCAGCCTAAACAGGTGAGTCTTCCTTGAGCTTCTCATCATCTTGATATCTTTGTGCCTATGATTAGCACTTAATGTGGAAAGAAAGAAAGGGGTTAGGGAGTGGCTATTTTATGCCTCTCTTGTTTAAAGCCACTCATCTGTTAATACAGTTTGGAGCCATTCATTAGATCAGTTGATCTATGATAAATTCCATACAGACATACAGATGTCTTGTGAATAGATGATGATTATTTCTATCTCTCAGATATAGAGAAACAAATGTTTAGAAGGATTAAGTGTCATACTCAGTGTACGGCAAGCCGACACACATCTTTTTTCTTCTCCTTCACATGTTCTAATACACCATGGTCTAACTGTTAAAATAAAAGATGGTGCTTAGTTATTGCTATTTAGCCAATAGGACAACAGTATGCAAAAAGTTAAAATAAACTCATGGATTGGTTTAAGTATATCTGATGTCACCATTTTGACATTAGTAGGTCATAATTTTTGTGAAATCACATTGTAAAAAGACCTTTTTATTGTGCTTCATTATGAAAATCTAAAAATAAAAACACTGAAGGGAGGAGGGATGTCTTGGCTCCATGTATACTTTTTTATATTTCATTGTTTTAATTAGCTGTTGCCAGCAATTGAAGCCAAATACTTAACCTTTTGCATTTTGTTAATACTTTGTTTTTTTCATGTTCGGTGGTTGCCAGGCAAGTGGAGGAACGAGGCTATTTAGGATGACTTCTTGGAAACAAAGTTTTGCATCTTCTTGCCTACTGAGGTTTAGCATCTTCCTACTCCTTAGCCTTCCTGATGCGGAAGGAAAAGCTATATGGACTGCCCACTTGAACATAACATTTCAGGTGGGAAATCGAGTCATATCCAAGTTAGGGGAAACTGGAGTATTTGGAAATCATTCTCCTCTGGAAAAGGTGGCTGGTGTGGTGGTACTTCCTGAGGGTTGGAATCAGAATGCTTGTAAACCCATGACCAATTTTAGCAGGCCTGCGCTGACAGAATCCTGGCTGGCCCTCATCGAACGGGGAGGCTGCACCTTTACCCACAAGATAAAGGTGGCAGCTCAGAAGGGAGCAAATGGAGTAATCATCTACAACTATCCAGGTACTGGCAACAAGGTTTTTCCTATGTCTCATCAAGGAACGGGGAACGTCGTTGCAGTGATGATAGGCAACCTGAAAGGCATGGAACTTTTTCATTTGATTCAGAAGAGAGTCCATGTGACAATTGTAATTGAAGTAGGGAGAAGACACATACCCTGGTTGAATCATCATATCATGTCCCTGTTTACCTTTATGGCTGCCGCTGTCTCCTGCTTCTTTTTGTATTGTGCCCGGAGGGCCAGAATGCCCAGTGCCGCCACCAGGAGACGCCGACAGATAAAAGCAGATGTCAAAAAAGCAATTGGCAAGTTGGAACTGCGTGTGTTAAAAGAAGGGGACAAAGAAGTTGATGTCAATGGAGATAGCTGTGTTGTGTGCTTTGACATGTACAAACCCAAGGATACAGTGCGCATTTTAACTTGCAAGCATCTCTTCCATAAGGCATGCATTGATCCCTGGCTCTTAGCCCGTAGGACATGCCCCATGTGCAAATGTGACATTCTTAAAGTATAAGAAACTAAGGGAACATTCCATGATGACACTGAATCTTACAAAATCTAGTATGGAATGAATTATTGTTTCACTTCAGCTAGAGAGATGAATGAACTCCTTATAAACTAAGACCATGTTCACTAAAAAGTTAGTCAAATTTGTGTGTCCATTTTTTTGTCTGTCTTGATAACATAAACTCCATAGAAAAGGATCAAAACTCATGTGTTATGATGGTCTTCTTTTTGTAATAAAGCCCTAAAACATACCCAGTGAACTAGATGTCACAGTTTTTAAAAGTCTAGTTTCTAATTCATCCAACTTTTTCTGTGATACATACACCACTGTCCTCTCCTTCTTTTCTGCCTATCCTCCATGCACACATCACATTACTGTCTCTGCTAGTTTTCAATGTTTCAAGATTCTGAGGTGGAGTAGAGGTGCAGTGGAAAGAATGTTGGCTTTGGAGTCAGAGTACTAAGGTTCAAAACCTACCTCTGATTCTTGATATTTGTGTAAATATGGGGCAGATGACTTAATTTTCCTCTCATTTTCCTTAATTGTAAAATGAGACGGTTGAACTAAGTGACCTCTGAAGTCCCTTTCACCTCTAGAATTATCCTGTTTCATTGATGGGGATACTTTCTACACCAGTGAAAATCAAAGTGCCTCCTTGCTTTAGTACATAGATGATCTTTGTGACTTACTGTAACCAAAACCAAAACAAAACAAAACAATCCTCTCTCCTTCAAAACAATAATCTTTAAAAAATCTTGAAGTTCACAAGTAGGTAGCATGCTTCGATTTAAAGGGATCTGGGTTCAAATCCCATTTCTGTTACATACTGGTTGTGTGACCCCTAGGCAAACCTTCTAACTCTTCAGTGCCTCAGGAAGAACAGTTACTGACCGGCATTAGTAGAGGGAGTTTTCTAGCTAGTTAGGTCTAGTGGGGGGTGGGGGGGGGAAGTTACAACTTTTGACGAATTCTTTGTAAAGAATCCTTAAGAAGTCTCTGTCTCTCATCCTCGATGTCTCTCTCTCTGTGGCTCTGTCTCTGTGTCAGTTTCTCTCTTTGTATCTGTGCATCTCTCTCTGTCTCTCTCTTTCTCTCATTCTCTCTCTTGCTCTTATTCTTTCTTTCTCTCTCTATAAAGAGATATAGGTACATACACACATGTGTATGTATTAATGTTCTTGTTCTTCTGGTAACATGCTTCTCTTAATTGATCAAGGTCAATCCCTTGGGCAGAAGACATACAGTCACTCAAGTCCTATACATAAAGCCGTTGCTACTTAAGGCTGGTTTTACCAGAACTACTGTTCCATGGTAATAGCCCCTAGTCCTTAGCAAGAATCCAAAATTATCCTTCTAGAAGTACACCAGGGATCGCTTTACTTCAATGTTCCTTAATGCTGATTCGGTCTCTGGGTCACTAGCCATTTAAGAACAACTGTAGAAAAACTGTCACGCAAATAACTAAGATTTTTTCCCCCTCATCTTGCCCTCTTCCCAGAGTGTCATTTTTGCCTAGCTGTACATTTCCAGATAGAATTTATACAAGAGAGAAATTTTAAGCTTACTTTTAACATATGAATGTTATCTTTGTGACTGATAAAATAAGTTATCTATTCCTAGGTTTCGTTACCTATTGGTATGTCTACACAAATAAATATTTTAGGGGAAGGGCAAAGAGGCATGAGACAGTTTCATGGCCTGTTTTGAAAACTGATCGTTGTGAATTTTAGTTTTTATCATGATAAATGTTTTCATAGATGAAAATCTTATTTATCTCTAGGTACCCTTTTACCTTCTTCTCTTTTTCACACTTTCATACACTAGATAGTGTTATCACACTATACTACCTTGTTGAATAGTTAAACTGTTAATTTGATTAAGTCATTTTAATCTTACCTATCAGAGGATTCAGTACCAAGTCAAGTGATATACTGAGGAAAGTGGATCAGTGACATTCCTCTTCAGTGACAGAACATGTAGCTTTAGTATAGTCTCATCAAAACAAGCAACAGTAAACATAAAACATTATGGAGGTAAAAAAACACAGACTATCGCCACCTGGAAAAGTTTTGAGTAACAATTATAAAGTTTTTCTTAATTCCCTCACAGTCATCTTTTTATTTTTAATTCTTACCCTGCAGTCAGCATCAGTCCAGCTAGAATTTAGCCTGATGAGAATAATATAAAGGAAATTGAAAAAATAGCCTGACAGCTGCTGAAGTGCTTCATTTGGGGAAATTCTTTGCTGTTGTTCCCTTTGACTTCTAATACAGCAATTTAGGCTCTCACCTCTTCTTAAACAACGTTGAAATTATGTTTAGCTAACACAGAATTAGTACATTTTTATTTAGGTTGATTTTTTTCTCCATTAATGTGATAATATACTATGCTGCTAAATCTATGTTAGCCCTTTTTATCCTTGCAACCACCCTCCACCACCACTCTCATTATAAAATTAATAGCTTTCATGACCCATGTATCAGATTTCTTCTAGGAAACTATGGGTTTAGATTTTTTTTGCCTTTTTAAAAATATTTTTTGCTTTTACTTGACATATAATCAGAGAGTCAAACTGAGTCGCTAAAAAGGAATAATCAATCAAAAAGGATCCCTTCATTGTCCTTTGACTCCTACAAAATGAGGACATTGTTAAATATTTGAATGTAGCTTTTTTTAGACATGATTAAAAGATTTTACCTATTTCTGTTGATGTCTAGTCCAGGGCTGGGTCCAAAAGAGTCCTCTATCTCCTTAAACTTGATTCTATTTGATTATAAGATTGCTTGCTTGATCATTTGTTCATAAAAGCAAACAAAACCTCAGCCCATTTGATTTTACCACTGTGCTGAAGAAGAGAGGAATGCATTTCTCCCATAAAAATATTATTAACAATTTTGTGGCTTACATCACAGCCTAGCAGATTTTTAAAAGTAAGGTTATATGCATGGATTTCCCATTTTGTTTTTATTTTCAGTTAATGACCTTGGAGGTTAACTACCTGCCAGTAATATATGTAACTAAGCAATAACATTTTATATAACAATATGGAAATCACCCCTAACAACACTTGACCAAGCCAATAAAATTTCAGTATGAGCTAAGATATTTTATGATTTGCTGAATTGTCTCTGATGTCACAATCACATTACCCAACAGCAGTCTGTAGAGACTTAGTGGGACTAGATTTTTTTCCAATATAAAGTTTTTCTCATTCTTACCTTCAACATTTCAGACTCATAAGAAGTCTTCAAAAATTTCCCCCCCAAAATGTGGGAGGGTAGAAGAATATGTTTTCCCCTTGAAGACTCTTTTCTTTCTGTTGTTTTAAGTTAGTTGCCACCAGATGTGGGAGCCACTCCTTTTTGCTTCACTGGTTCTTAAGTTTCTAGGCAAAGGGAGAAATGAATCTAGTTAAGACAAGTACTTGGGGAACCAATGCTGCTGCTTCCTGGCTTTTGGAATTCACTGTCTTTCTGCTGCTTAGTCAGAATTATTGCAAAGCAAGTGCAATTTGGACTGCCTACATGAACATATCATTTCATGTGGGGAACCGGATGTTATCTGAGTTGGGGGAAACTGGGGTGTTTGGAAGAGGCTCCATTTTGAAGAGGGTAGCTGGAGTTGTAGTGCCACCGGAGGGAAGGAACCAAAATGCCTGTAATCCCTTGACCAATTTCAGCAAACCCAAAGAATCAGAAATGTGGCTTGCCCTCATAGAGCGGGGTGGTTGTACTTTCACACAGAAAATAAAAATAGCAGCAGAAAAAGGAGCCAATGGGGTGATCATCTACAATGTTGCAGGAACTGGCAACCAAGTGTTTCCCATGTCTCACCAAGGAATTGGAGATATTGTTGCAGTAATGATTGGCAACTTAAAAGGCACAGAGATTTTGCATTTGATTCAGAAGGGAGTTCATGTAACTGTTATGATCGAGGTGGGCAGAAAGCATATCATCTGGATGAACCACTACTTTGTGTCTTTTGTTATCATCACAACTGCTACCTTGGCCTACTTCATTTTCTATTATATTCGAAGACTCTGGGTAGCAAGGATTCGAAATAGAAGATGGCAACGGTTAACAACAGATCTTAAGAAAGCTTTTGGACAGCTCCATCTGCGTGTTTTAAAAGAAGGGGATGAGGAAACGAATCCAAATGGGGACAGCTGTGTTGTGTGCTTTGAAGCATACAAGCCCAATGATATCGTGCGTATACTAACTTGTAAACATTTTTTCCACAAAAATTGCATTGACCCCTGGATTCTGGCCCATGGCAACTGCCCCATGTGCAAATGTGACATTCTCAAAGCTCTAGGGATTGAGGTGGATGTTGAAGAAGGGGCTGAATCTTTCCAAGTCTTAATGTCAAATGAATCACCTATTGCCAGATCACCTAATGAAGAGAGTTCTGGAAATGACCACCGTTCTGTAAGAAGATCAGATAAAGTGACCCATGGGGAAGAATCCTCTTCTTCAGGAAATGATAATCAGTCTAGTTCTGTATCAGTAGATGTTCATCCTTCACCTTGACAGCATGCCCTTTTGAAGAAGTGGATTAAACTTGTGTTTATCAAATCAGGTCCAAAATACTGACAAGCAGTTCTGTCTGTCTAAAGTGGGAAGGTGTTGTTGTTGGGGTTTTTTTTTGCATTCTTTTTTGTTTCTCTAGTAATTATTTCTACCCTTTATCAAGAAATATAATCCACCCAGAAAGGGGGAGGGGGAAACAGCTTATCAAGAAATGTTTATGATTTTATTTTGTTCTAAACCGTGCACAATTTCACAGTCTTGTATACATAAGAATATGGGTTATAATTTTATAATACATAAGTATAATTCCCTTTTGATAAGAACATTTCTAATACAGTTTTACACATTGATTCTAGTACAGAAGTATTCTGAAAGTTGAAAAACATACATTATATTTTAAAACTAAGATTCAGTTTTTCCTTTATTTTTTCTATTTTTAATGCAGTTGGTTATGTTGAAGGAATGATAATTTTCTATTTTGGTCATTAAAATTTAGATATGCATCATTTAATTAACCTTAAGAAGAAACTTTTAATAAAGCTGTATTCAAGTAATATTTATATTTCAAGCAAACTACATCTACATAATGACAAAGTATTTTGAGATAAACATCGATCCTTCATATAAACAGCAAATATTTCATTACTTGATATTGTTAGAGGAAATGCTCAAAGGTTCCTAATCTGAAACTATACCTACAGTGAGGAAAAGACAATTCCTCTGATACACAGACATGCCTTCTTAAAAAATTCCTTTCCTAATTTTTGTTAATTCATCAATAAAGTACTGAATACCAACATGTGTCAGAACCTCATTTGTTTTAGAGACAGATAACAATGAGCAGTAAGTGGCAGTGGATAGAGTGCCAGGCCTGGAGTCAGGAAGATGAGTTCAAATCTGCCCTACTAGCTGTGTGATTCTGGGCAAGTCACTTAACTCTATTTGCCTCAGTTCCTTATCTGTAAAATGAGCTGGAGAAAGAAATGGCAAAGCACTCCATTATCTTTGCCAAGAAAACCCTAAATGAGTTCACAGAGAATCAGCTATGACTGAAAAATGACAACAACAAAAAAAGTATAAAATGAAAGTCTGTCACATGTCAAATACCATTTCCAAAGCCATATATATTTTTAGCAATCTGGAAAACAAAAAATTTAATCTCAATCTTACCGAGAAATAAGAAGGTAATAGAGTAAAAAAAAAATCATATCAAGGCATTTTGATAGAACATGAATCTAGTCATATGGTTCATGAAATGTGATGAAAATTATTTTCCCGTGCTGGAATTTTGTTAACAATAAGATGATTTTTTTAAAAAAAAATTTATTTCCTGTCTGCAGTAGTGTAAGCATAGTGGTAATAGGATCTTAGAACTGAAGGAAATGTTATGGATCACTACTCCAACCCTTCTTATTTTGCAGATGAGGAAACTAGGCTTCGGAAAGCTGAAGCTGAAACAAAACCTAGTCTTTCTTTCTATACTGAATGAGTAGGTGACAATACAGTTCTGCTCTGAACACAATAGGGCTGTGTTAAACACCAGGGACTCCCTTTGCCTTCCACTTTTTTATTTCTCTCCCTCCCAACCTTCATTTCTTAGAATCCCTGGATTTTTAAAAGTTTTATCTGAAGGGGCCACTCCCTCCATCAGGCGCTTTTATGGGCCTTGCCTCCCTCCCTCCTCCCACCAGTGTCTTCTCCAGTAAGGTTACCTTACCTTTACTCTGTATCTTGTATGTTCTGATTTTTACATGTGATCTCATAATGTAAGCTCCTTGAGGGCAGGAATTCTTATTTTTTTCAATTTGTATCCCCTTAGTGCTTGGCATTTAGCCTAGCACATAGTAAGTGCTTAATAAATATTGCTGTATTTAATGGATTGTTTGGCTACTTACATCTAGCTTTTCTCTCTCCCCCTTCCCTCTCCATCCACCCTTTCCTGTTTTTATTTTTTCCTTTTTCTTTGCTCCTTCTCCTAAGCCTTAGGCCTAGGCCTTGGTCCTAGGACCAGTGATCCTTTGGGTGTCATGAAGAGTACAGAGATCACAGACTGTTGCAGTAAGATTTCTAAGGTGGGGGGAATGAGTTATTTTAAATAAACTTCATCTCTATTCCTTTACTCCTTCAAGTCTTGGATCATTTATTTTCTTTGGAACCATTCAAGGGAAGTTTGAATGTTTGTGATGGCAAAAGATGAGGAGATCTAAGATAATCAGTTCTTCATGGCAAAATAAAAAGACTCAGGAAAACTTTCCTGTAAGCCTTGCCTTTTGGGGGTTGTGAACAGATTGACAAAGCCCACTTACTCTGGGTTATATCTACAGGAGATGAACATAACATTATTATGCAGAATATAATCGATTATTCATTGTGATGACACCCTACATTGTAGGTTGTATCTTCTGTGCACTTAGTGGTGTATAATGCTTCTCTTTCAAGACAATACTATGATTCTTCAGCGTGGTGTGTCTTTTTGATCCCCAGTTCTGGTGGCATTATAGACCTTTCCTGCAGCTATTTTTTATGATAGCTAACTTTTTAAAAGCAATGAATTCCTATACTGCTCCATACCCATCATACTCTCCACTGCTCTACCTTGCCAAGAGAAAGACAGGGTAGTATAGTCCACAACTACTGCCACCACACATTTGTGTAGCATTTTAAAACTGTCAAAGTCTTTTACATATTGATCTCATTAGAGTTCAAGATTTGGAGTCAGGAAGATCTAGCTTCAAATTCCATCTTTGACACATTAAATTATGAGATCCTGGGCAAGTCACAAGTATATACCACAAACAAGTCCCCAGGACTTATCTACTAAGACTGTTTTAGTGGAGAAAGTTCCTATATCAGGAGTAGCTACCTATACCAGAGGTATTAAACATGCCCCATACAGCAGGCAACACTCTTAAGTGGACTTGTACCAGATTTAAAATGTGATTGGGAAGTATTTTACAAAGTAAATAAAAATGCAATAAACATAGTCAATATGCTTTCATAGGGATCCATAAGTATAGTTTTACTGGCCTCTTTATATTTGAGTTCAACACCACTGCCCTACCCTGATTTGCACAAATGGTTGACGTTTACATATAAATGCTAAGGTGAATTCCTTCATAATGTTGTAGTGTGGAGAATATTTGTGCATGAGAGAGGATATTTAGTTAGATAGTTTCTCACAAATTCCTTCCAACTTGGATTTACTTTTTATAAGATAGAATGCATACGTAGGAAGTGTTATTCTGGTTCCCTGCTACATGATTATAATGATGCCTGCCCTTGGCTTGCTGTTCTTTAGTCATTACCACCAATAATTGTATTATTCAGAAGCATTTTGGAATCTAGGCATGTGGGTATACTAATGAGTTCCAAACTTAATGTTCTCTCATTTTCTTTCATTCTTTTATAAAGTAGGAGTAGTTTGCTTGTCATATCATTATAACTATAAAGAGAGATTGAGACAACTCAATCAAAAAGTGTCCTGGGTGATACTCATGAATAACCTAACTATGGGACCTGCTGCTCAGATTGTAACTGGTGCCAAATGGTCTTAATCAGAAACAAATTAGAAACAGCACGAAGGGCTGAGATGAGAAGGATCAACGTTCTCACAAAATTTAAGATAAAAGACAGTGGGTTAGAATGAACATAATGAAATGTTAGGTGTATTATTAGGTGTATTACTATTCCATATAGAGTAGCTGAATAGCCTATAATAAAAAGGAAATTGAGAAATAAAGATAAAAGTAGCCAATATGACTACGTTATCTGTGTCAATGACAGCCAGAGGTGATTTTTCATCATACTGATTACAGTTTTTTTCACGTGGCAGATATTTAAAAAATGTTTATTTGCATTGAATGTAGCTAAAGGACTAGAAAGTTTTTTAAAAGTTGACCAAACCATTTGTGGAATTGAGGAATTGAGGTTTTTGAAAACTCAGACATTAAAAATGTATTGCTCTATAAATCTGCAGAATTTGCCTGCCTCTAAAATGATGAAAACATATATATCAAATGGTCTAAGGCCTCTAGGGTATGTCATGGTATTAGGGAAACTGACTCTACTCTGGCAGTGTGGCCTAATGAATAGAGCACTGTTAGGCTTGAAATAGGTTAAGGTAGAAGACAAATGGTTTTCAGCACCTAGAACACTAACTGTCACATAGGTACTTAATAAATTCTTATCAATTGATTTTTCTTATTCTATAACTTACTCAATAGCATTCCAAGTACATGTGGTCCCATTGTTTTACAGCATGGTGTCAAACTGAGAAAAAAAATTCTGAGGGCGGCACATTGATTTAGAAAACCATAAAATTACATTATGTTGCATTATGTGTTTATTTTGTTAAATATTGCCCAATTTTTCATCTTGTTCTGGTCGTACTCAGGAGTTCTGCAGTAGATTGAGACCTGACGCTTGTGAGTCTGACAGTTCTGTACCATGTGAAATTCCTTGCAACTTACAGATTAGTACATTTTGGTGAGAGGTAGCACAATGATGGTGGGGCAGATAGAGAGTTGGTATCCCACCTCTGATATATAGTAGCTCTGTGACCCTGGAGAAGTCATTCTGTATCAGTGCTCTCAGAAGCTCTTTAAGACTATGGATTGCAAGATTTCAGCCTGTACTGGAGGGGGAAGCACCTTGCCAACAGCTCCTCCTTACACTAATAAAATCATAGGTCCAGTCCTTCTGCCTGTGTTTTTGATGCTTGAGTTTTTAAATATTTAACAAATATTTATTAAGCATGTTATTGACTGTTTACGATGTACAAGTCACTGTGCTAAATGTTCTCTTAATGTATATCATGGTTTCTTGACCCTTGTTTGTGTCATGGACCCTTTGGCTATGTGGTGAACCATATGAAACTCTTTCTCAGAATAATGATTTTAAATGCATAAAATACCCAGGATTACAAAGGAAGCAAATTATATTTTGATATTAAGACAATTACGTTGAAATTCAGTTTTCCAAAATTTTTTTAAAGCTCATTGGCACCAGATTAACCCGTGCTTTTAGACTGTGAATGTTTCTTCTCG